ACCCTGATTCAGTAAAGCATTTGGGAATGCACTCAAATTCCACTTTAGTTAAGACTAATGTACATCACAGAAGCAGGTCCTAAGTATGTAAGAGAGGTTTATCCATGAGATATTTAGAATATTCTTACTTGTATTTTATGTTTTATTAGATCCAATTAGATTTCAAGCAAATATTTATTAGGATACAGTCACACAAGCACAATAAACATACACTCCCTGGGAGAGAAAGGATTTTTTTAAAACAATCATACTTTGAAAAATAGAGATAGCTCACAAAGGCTATTTGGAGTCTGTCTGAAAAGTATCACATCTAATGGTGTTGACAAACGTAGCTTGGCTTGCCAAATAGGTCAGGAGACTGAAATTCTGGAATGTTCAGAATCTGGGTATTATTTATGCTTTTTTGCCCACATGGCAATGGAGAAAGAATACTGAGTTTAAAAATATAGAATAGATTTACCAACACCCTTATGAAATTTGAGGGACACTCGTCAAGATACCTACACACTACTCTTAAAGCACAATGCTGTTTTGCATGAATGTGGCTAAGTATCCCTCAGGAAAATATTCAGAGAAAAATATCTTGTGTAATATTGGCATAATACTATTACCAAGATAATTTTGCTTCCATGACACTGTACAATGGAAAATAGTCTAAGGTTTCATGCAACTATAATTCTTGCTAAAGCTATTTCTGCCTGTCAAACTAGTTAACTAGTTTGCTGAGTATTTTTTTTGTATTATTATTCCAAAATCTAATTCAGTAATACTTAATATGTATTCTGTGAAAGCTCATTTGCAAACAAATTGCAAAGACTTTCTCGAGCTTATAATTTGAGATATAAAATGACTGTGCTCATTTCATATTAGTAGTACTTTTTAAATAACTGAAAGCACTTGAAAAATTGAAGGAATATACTTCAGCGCTTGACTTCCTTATACCTCATATACAGCCAAACTGTTCTTTTTACAAGTGGCACAAAAGATGTAATTATTCCAAAGCAGATATTCTGGCATAACTGGACATTTTATGGCAAAGCTATAAAGAACTTGCAAATGCCATAAATTCCAGCAGTGATGTATATGTCCATCCACGCATCTGCTACTAAGTCTGAGTTCATATTTTCTGACACATATTTCACTTTTAAAAGCACTTAACAGGACTCAAAATTCACCTACAAATTCCAAATGTATTTCTTTTTTAACCAAACTTTCCCATCTTATCTTTGCCCACAACTTTCAAAAAGATGTGATTCACAACTTTACACCTCCAATACAATTTCTTCATATATCCACATATTTAGAGAAATGTCAGCAAAAAGGGTATTTGTGTATACAAAGTCATTATGGCCTCTCCTGTTTGGGCAGTATTTTACAGGTGAAAGATGATCTATAAATGCATTTGTAAACAACCAGGGCCAGCACAATATAAGAAACAAGACTGCAAGCAAGACTGCTGGTGCCTCTTTTTCTCTACAATGGCCTCAAAGTTAGACTGATGGCTCTCTGGGCTTTTTGCCAAAACCGCACACCAGATGAAAATAGAAAGAAGGGAAATAAGCAACCTGGGGTCCAAAATTTAATTCTGACCTTATGTATAAGCTCTATGGGAGGCTTGGGCAAAGCAGAATGTTAATCTACCATATAAGGGGGGCACAAGGAAACTAGGAAAAAAACTTATGAGAAAAAGAATGTATAAAATCTCTCCTCTATCATGTGCACATTTTAGTATTTTGAAACCATCGATCTTGAAAAGTAATCAAAACTCCATGTATTAACATTATGTTATTCTCAGAAAGTAATATTTAATGTGCATTTTAGTTATATGTCCACAACCCACTTTCCTTCAGCATGAGATAAACTATATTTTTATGGCTTTAACCCACTTTATTCAAACCACGGAGATTTCTGTTTCATAAATTTGTGGGTTTATGGATCCCATTAACTATGAAATACGGATAGCATATCAGAAAGCAGATTTGAAAGTGAAGGTTGAACAGTTCTCTTCATCCTGTCACAAGAACAGGCTCTATTTGCATTTTCTCTTATACTTCACAGTGGAAGTTAAGTTTTCTTCTACTAAAACGTATTTGCCAATGGAGTCCTTTGCAGAAACAGAGCAATTTATTTTTATCAGATCAGTAATCTTTACAGAATTGTTTACAAGAAGGAAACATTTTTTTTCTACACTGAAAGTAATAATATAGTGTCAAGTCCAAAACTGCAAATGAGCAAACATTTTCATAAAATTTTGCAGATGCTGACTGCGTTTAACATAACTTCCTTGAAAGCTCTGTTATTAAGTTGTTTCTAGACATCTTGACTAACTTCTCAGTGGAGAATAAAAGGTATGGTAAACAGATTAAACTCTATTCCTCTGGTTTCCTACTGTAAAACACATATATTAATTAGATATGTACTAGTGTAATTCATTGCACTTGGATACTTCAATTATAAACACAAATACCTAGAAAATTAAGCTGTTAAATATCTACTGATGTCTTATTTACTAACTGTTAAAATAATTTAACAGTATAACTAAATTTTGTAAAACTACTAAATAAACATAGTAAGGAGTAAAAACAGTTTAAGCTATTCTGAGACAGAATCTTGAAAATTAGATGCTTGAATTACAATGCTCAGAAAGCTTGCTTTATCGATCATTATTTTTAGAATACTTATATAAGATATTCTATTAGTCTCCTGCCCTTTCATGAGAAAATTCACAGGACATTATTAAGTTCATCCACACACCACATTTCAGAAGCACAGAAATGAGAAACAGACCATTTTTTACTCTTCCTGTGAAGTGAGATTGACCTCACATGAATCTTCAAACTGATCCCGGTGCTACCACAAAACTACAGATGGCTTATACGTGAGGAAAAACAGAAAAAAAAAAATACTTATGGCAATCAATACAACATAACATCTTCTACTAATATAGCCTGACAAGCCAGAGATACACAACAAACCGAGAAACAGTAACTATTTTCCACTGGGAGATCCAGGTCATCAAAACACAGGAAGGGAGGTTAATTTGAAGGCAACTGAGGAAAGTTTTGAAACTGTATTCATCTATTCACAATCTCAGAAAGTACAGAGGCCAAAATCTTTCCTCACTAGTCTCTTCAGAGGGAGTTATTCTGGCTCAAACTACTACCAAAGGCACTACTGTGAATTTCAATAGAGTAAGACAAGGAAGCGCTCTATGAAATAGCCCAATACAAAAATGTCAACTGTATTATATGAGTCTTTTGTTGGTTTTTAGCACAGCAGAAGTCATCATACATCAGTGCATGAAGCACTTACATAAGCAGCAGTGTCAAGTAACTTTGGAAAGTACCTGCCAATAGCACACAAGTCAATTCCAACAACATACTGTCTACTTCAGAGAGGGATGCATGAGACAGTGTAAGACCAGCTTCATGTTTCATGTACTTTTATGTCAACAGTGGAAGACCAGAAAGTATCTGATCTGCCATAAGCTTTGTGGGGAAGTTACAAAATTCTTTGAGTAACTTTGAATATAGTAGAATGACTGCTGATAAGTAGTATACATTGATTAATATTACAAGTTTGGATGCAACACTCAGATTTGTAATTTCATAGAACCACAACACAAATGAATCACACAGAGACATCTAACTCAAGCAGAATAAACTTCCAAGCACTTTCAAAACATATATAAAAGTACCTGTAAGTACATCTATATACAAATTGTTTCAACACTTTCTGCTTACGCTTGGCTTCCCTTATGCTTTTACTGAATGACTGCCACAACAGACTTGATAAAATAATGATATTCTCAGTGCAACATCATGTGCAATAATGTCTTTGACAGAAATAAATACTACATTTTTGCTGTTTTCCATATTGCCTTCATCTCATTGATACCTTCTTGTTTCACAGATCTAATACTTGATCCGCTGCAGAACAAATTTCTGATGAATTCATAAAAAACTGATAGGATGCTGGACTTTATCTGTTTTAATTAATCAAAAAATTAAACTGAAACCACACTGGTTTTGTTATTTTGGTCCCTGTGCACTAGAAATGAATGGATAGTAACAGGAGTGGCTGGTTTACCTTGCTATCAGCAAAAAGTACTTTTAAAACTCTAACATGGACTGTTCAATTAACAGAATTTATTGGAAATATAAGCAAGATTTTCAGAGTGAAGATACGTTAAGGTTTCAACCATTTCTAACCCTTTCCCCCTGTCTTTTAAGTAACCCCTCCAACTAAAAGAGCCATTGACATGTTCAGTCTGTGCTTTACACTGCTAACACTTTGAACACTATCTTAAGCTATGAGACTGAAAACACTCTTGTATAGTTAGATATGTAAGAACAACTATTTAAATGGTTCTACTGCTATAATCATTTAGGAACCTGCTTCACCACATGTGGATTCAAGAAGACATGAAAGGAAGAATTACAGCTCTGCAAAGTGTATAAAAATATTAAAAATAACTCCTAAATAATTACAGCGTGGTGTGATCCAAAAGGTCTTCACTATAGTGGGCCACATCAGATAACAAGACATGTTTTCTGGTTAGGTTTATGTTATGTTCATGTTCTCCCACATGTAGTAACACTTAACTTTATTTAGTATAGTGATTTTCATGCAACTTATGTTCCAAAACACTATCCTCCTCAGGAAAAAAAAAAAATGAAGCAGTGTTGCAAGACAGGATTCACCATTACAAATTTTATATCAGCTGGAAATCTGGAATCCAAGTTGGGAAGAAACCTGAGACTAATTCACCCACCCTAGCACTGCAACCACTAGAAAATATCCTTTCTATTTTTTTTTTTTAATGTGATTAACAAATGTAAGTAATTCACATGAACTGTAGCACATTAAAATCCTGTACATTTACCATGATCCTCAGTTCTCATATCTGAAAAAATTTAATGTAGAAGAATTTTCCCCCAAAATATGTATTCCAAAGTTACCACGAACATTTCACGTTACACAATTATTCCAGTCCATACCTGCAAGCATGTTAGCTGAGCAACTGACTTCCCTTTGAGGCAGAGAATGAGTGCCACAAATGCATTTAAGTCCTCCAGAGAGAGGCTACTGACCTAAAACAGTTGAAAAAATAACACATTATCTGAAGGTTCTGAAGTATAACCTTCTGAAAATTGACTCCTCTTGCTCAAGCACATCAAATTCAGATCAATGGTCTCATGAAGTTATGACCACCATGAATGCATCATCTAGGAAAAGACACTTGAAGGGAACAAAATACTTACTTTCACACTTTGAATGAAGTACATACCCTGATATCCATGCATAGTGTATATACATGGATTTCCACACACCAAACAAAATGCCCACCCTTCATGTATTTCCTTCTCCTCTTCCCTTCAAGTTTCTTAATAACAAGAAATTTAATCTCCATATCACTAAGCATAGTAACAAAATGAGATTTAAAGAAAATATAAATTGCTATATAATCAAGACCCAAGACGAAAACCACCTGAATGAGCCACAGATATGATGACCATTAGGATTTCTTTCAAATGCTTACATGGTTATCTGTTGCAAACTTTAAAAATAGCCTAAAATATTTCCATTATCTATTTTAAGCTAGATTTCGGGATTTAACAAAACATATTTAGATTCTTTTACGTTTTTAGGCTATATATTGGAGTGGGATGAACTCAAAACTGTAAGAAAGCTAAACCTAAAATGTTCAAATGGAAACCATAAAGAAAACTTCTAAATTCGTGTAACAGTTCGCTCCAATACTTCTATCAGAAAAGGGAGAATGGGGGCATTTACTCTTGTGAAAAAGTATTCTGAGATTCTATAGAGGCATATGGTCACCTCAGAAGAAAGACAGCACCTCTAGACCACCTGGGCTGATTCCCTGACAGTACCAGTTCAGTTCTGATCACTTGCTTCCTCTAAGAACACTACAAATTATACATGTGCACCAAGAGCAAGTATCTGTTACAAATCTTCAGGCTTAAAGAGGGCTATAAGTGAGATCCATAAAGCATTACAATTCTTTATCAATTGGAACTTGTGGGAAGGTTTCTCTTGCAAAGTGTGGAAATGTGCATTGTGGTCTTACAGTACAAGCTGCCTAAAACTCTGCATTGCTTTTCTTTTAACAGCTTGATTTTCGGGGAATGTTGTGTACAACCCATTTCAATCCATTAAGAGTTTCTATTAAGGCTGTTAAAAATCAAAAAGTGACAGAAAAAATGAAGGCGAGAAAAATTAACAAAAAAGTATTGATGTAAATCAATATAAAAAGTAAAAAACCCACTAAAAAGCTGTCTATAATTACTTTATTCATTTCTTTACTTAGGAGGAGTAAGCTATTCTTTCCTCTTAAAAATAAAAATTATTCAACCACTGAGATTTTTTTTTTTTTTTAATCAGGCCTTGCTGCTTGTCACACTGTAACATACCTTCCCCTCTATGATGCTGTTAAAACTTGCATAAAGCACAAGAATGTGAGGGCTAACAGAAGTTTTAAGCTTTCAAAATGCTCCTTGGTATTCATTAACTCCACATGGCTGCTAAGATCTGATAATGGCCCTACTTTACCCTGTATTTCAAGTCAGGTGTCACTTTTGTATAGATAGCAACGAGAGGTTTACTAAATTCGCACATTTTATACATTTTACAGTAACAGAAAAAGTGACTTTCACCTACAAAACAATTCTTAATACTTGCACAAATTTGTCCTAAGAAAACTAAGTCAAAGATTGCTTGCAAAAAGATTGCTTGTAAAAGCTTGAAAGAAAAATTGCCCCTTTCTTCGGAGGCTCCATAGTTTGATATTTGAACTCATTCGCTCCTTTATTCAACTTTAAAGACAGACCTATTATTTTGTATTTTTTTTCACTGTTTTTGTCTGAATTTGGAGGATATTTGAAAAGTACTCTCACTGAAAAGATTACTCTTCAAATTGACACTTTCTTTACATAGTTAATATTTGCTTATTGGTCATTTTTTCTCACTTTAAAAAAATGCATTTGAAGCTAAGTTTTAGATTAGATTAAATGATAAGTAATGAAATTCTGAAGAAGTTTATTTCTCCCTCATATGAGCTGAAGAAAATTACGTTAGCCTGCTTCAAGGCAACCTACAATTGATCAACTTAAATCCCCTTTAGGGTAACAATCCACCTTCCCTCTCTAACACAAATGTAAGACTACAGTGTAAAGACAAGACAAGATTTAGACCACAGTTACACAAGCACTGTTTTCTCAGCTATAAAACAAATGGAAGCAGTATGGCCAGCTCAAAGCATGGCTGCTGACACTCTTGTTCTCAAACACCCCAAGAAAACAAATGGACGATATCAGAGAATTACCCCAAGTTTAAAATAACTCAGCGATAAAAACCACTTTTGTCCAAATCAGTTCCCTAGTCTGGTTCACAGGGTAGATTGTATCAGTGCAACTCAGAGGGCAGAAGAGAATCAGGAAAATGGGACAGGTATTGAGAAACTTGCACTGTCATGAAAAACATTCCATCAGACTAAGTGCTATGTATGATGTCTCTGCTATTATTCTTGTTGAAAACATGAGCTGCAAAACTATTTTCATCTCTGGTTTTAACATTAGCCATTGGATCATAAGTTCTGAAAACCATATCCCTAACAAGCATTTTTTTCCCATTAAAATGCTGTGATCAAATCAGTGTTTTCTCCTGTTACTCCTCCTCTTATTCCCACTAAAGAAACACTTCTCAAATAATTTAGTAATCATGCTATGAAGGGGTGTACAGGATAGCACAATAAATAAATGAAACAATGAAAATAGATAAATAACTGAAACTGTGATTTCATATCCAAATATGAAAAACACTCAAAGTGTGTTAAGTGCTAAGTACGTAACATGTATCTTGCTGAATTTAAACTGCAAGACATGCAATGATGTTTAATGAGTTTCATCTTCTAAAAACTTTCCATTTATACTCTGCTATACAAACATTAAAGGACAAAAGAGCTGTATGGATCATTTGTATAATTCTCACATGTAACTTCCTCAATGCATCATCTAATCTTGAGCAAACACACACGAAGGAAAAAGAAAGGAAATTCAGGGAGAACTTGTTTTCATATACCACACACCAGTATAAATCTGTTATTGAGGAAAGCAAACTCTGCAAAAGCAAAACAAAAGACAAAATGCAGTTCAGTGTAAGTAAGAATGCAGAGTTTATCATATTAGATAAAGGCATTATCATTTTCTCATGCTCAGAGAGGAAAATCTGCTTGTGAGATCAGCATATGAAAGAAAGGTGGCAAGTACAGACAATATATTAAATACATAAGAGAAAAGTAAATAATGAAGCAATATTGTATTTAATTTTGCATTCCTTTTTATTACAATTAAGGTAGTCTGCAGGCTGCCAAATGTTTGGAATTATAACAGAACTGCTACCTAATAATCCTCTATCACTCAGAATTTAATGAGAAGAACCATATTCTCAATTCTGGCTTGAAACTGAGTAGATTGACAAAACTGTGTGAAAAAGTAGAGCTGACTAAATATGTATATTGTCTGTTTGCACATCCTAGTCACCAGAGGGAATGTCTTCTTTTGACAACACAAACCAAGCACAAAACGAGAAGCTTTAATTTGCAAACAGATTCCCAAAAGTGGGGGAAATCCCTCAGTTTATACTCCCTCTGTTAAAATGCCCAAGGGGCTTTGTCATGGGCATGTGTGAATTATGATTAACTACTAAAAATCTCAAGTGTTTCTTGAACACGATGATGCATGTTAAATGGTGTAATTAAAAATACTGTAATGCAGTACTATTATATTTGATCAACTATGTCTACAGTGAGGATTAAGAGAAAAATCCAGCACAGGCTAGCAAGAAACATTTTATTAGTCAATCACAGGTGACAGCTATAAGAAAAAGCAACAGTCCCAGTTACCTGCATCATAAGATAGGCCAGCAAGCAGCAGAATGCTGCAACAGGTGCTTCTAGAGCTTGGAGCTCTTCCATCCTGTCCTGAAGGTGAAAGCATGCCAGAAATGTACTATACCGTTGCTTTTCCACATCAGGTCCTTTGGCAAACCACAGTGTTTTCAAATTAGGTGTTCCACCTACAAAAGAAATCCATTCATTTCTCTTGGCAGCAACAAGATAAAACATGCCTACCTCATTACAATCTGAAAGGAAACAACTGATCTGCTCTTGGCACTTGCAAGGACCACAGAGCTGAAAATAAAATGTATTAGACTAAACTGGGAATTTAAAAAAAAAAAAAAAAAAAAAAAAAAGGACAGTATTTAAACAAATTCTATTGAATACAGGCATATTTAAGCAGAGTGAACTGAATTCAATTGTTACAACAATATAGACAACTTTGAGACATCAAAGGCTTTTACACTTTGCAAGAATAGTTTGCCTACAAGTGTGCCCTTTCCCTTGGGGATCCACAGCATTAAATGAGGTTAGTTTTGTCATAAAATAGTGATTCAGCAGAAAACAACCATATCTGTTTCTTCTTTCTCTCTCTTAGAGCTAGCGTATCACAGGTCCTTGAAGAATCTTCACATTGCCTCCCTTATATCATCTGTTTTAACAAACAAACTGATCACCTATGCCATTTGCTGGCAAACACCCATTCTCCACAAAAACCTGTGCTAGTATGACTCCTTTGCGGTAGGTTCACGTTTGGGAACAAAACCCAAGGCTATCTAGTATTTTGCACTCCCAAGGCTATTGTATGTAACATTGTTGCAAAGACACACAAAAAAATGCAATCAGTTATGTACAGTGTATCTTTCCAGACTTTCTACAGTATCATTCACCCTGGGCTCTAAAACCTTACTATTCACCCCATGTTGCCATCTCCCAACTTGTGGCATGCGTGAACCAATGTAAAATTTGCTTCCCATTTAAATTACATTTAATCCATTATCAAAATAAACATTAACGTACGTGAAATAACAGAACAGCTAACCGGTTATGCCTAAGAATCCCAATTACAGACAGAACCCTCCCATAAAGTACTGCTGCTTCTGTAGTTAAATCAAACGAGGTGTGAATTTTAAATGTGGACTAATTAAGCTACATTTGGTAACACGTTTTCCTTTTTTTTTTTTTTTTTTTTTTTTTGTGTGTGACATGCAGCAGCTGTAGTCCAGTTAGGATCACTTGGGGATAATAAATGGTTAAAGTGACAAGGTGCTGAAATCCACATAGACGATGTTTATTTAGCCAAGAAAGCCCATTAACCAAATGGTACTAATTCTTTGGAGAGGGGGAAACTAGAAGTATTTTCTTTCTTCATCTCCCTGGATGAAAGTTTCTTACTATTTTTAAGACTAACTCTCCCATCAAAAGTTTTAGCCGTGTAAAGAACTATCATCATACACTTTGTAAGTTTCTAAACAATTTTGTGGAGAAATATATATATATATTAAGAAAAAATACCAGTTGCTTGATTGGAGTTGGAAATGCAGGTTTGTGATAACACAAATACTGGCACTGAGCAGACCAGTACAGACAGCACAATAAGACTCAGATTATTGGTTTTGATACTGGTAATTGCTGCCTTAAGGAAAAAAGAGAAAAGAAAAAAGAAGACTGACTTCCAAGAAGAAAAGCAAATATAACATGCATAAAAACAAAATAAAGCCAACTTTTCCTACCAAAGCTAAGCAACTTTAATGTGTGAGACAATTTTTACATGGGTAAGCTCATATAGTTTTGATGGTTTCTGCTTTCCAGAAGGTTCCCAGTCAGCTGCATATGAAGAGATAACACCAAGAATCAGTTAAAGGAAAGTACTCTTTCCATCTGTACAGTTTGGTTTTTTTTTTTTTAAATGAATTGCATCCAGGGGTATACCTAATAATAGAAATCCTTCTTTCTTCAGAGTAAAACTAGGAACTACATCAATAATCAAGATTTCATATCTATATTGAGAGAGCTCAGCAAAAAATTCAAGACATCTCTTCCATAAACAGCTTCTTACACTTTCAGAAACAACATCTACTTGTGCCTGGGAAAAAGAGGTACTGATGAATTATGAGTTATTTACTCTGGGAAAGAAAACTCGACACTATCTCCTTTTGGAACATACCAACCAAAAGCCTTATTTTTCCGAAAGGATCTCTTCTACATATGATTAAATTCCATGTAATACACAAGAGAGCGCCATTATATTAACCCTTAAATGAAACATAGGTAAAACAAAGAAACAAATACACTAAAATCTCTCCCATCGTACATATAATCAGCAACAGACCTAAGATTCATATACAGTAGAACTCCAAAACTGTTCTCTGCTTTAGTTGCATCCTCACTACATACACTCAGAAAACATTCCTGAAAGAGAGAAATTTAGTTGGACAGGGAGCAGGAATATTTTACTTTCTGAACACATCTAAATATTTACTAAATTAAGCTAAAAAAACCCACCTAAAACTGAGTAACAAAAGGGAAACAGAACAAAACATACTTATATATATATATATTGATACATCTTTACTGTAAATATTAGTCATGAGAAAATTATCTATTCTACTGGGGTTGTAGGGACCACAAGTTCCTATGAATTACAGAGAGATACTCAAACACTGCATATGCTTATGGTTATTCTCAACATGCTCAAAACTGTGTGAAAACTGTATTCAGTACTATGTAAACTGTAGGCCCCGGGAACTCCAAGAGCATCATGAAGACCTCCACGGAGGTCAAGAGATACTATTTTACTAAACACAAAAGCAGACAATCAACAATTGGAGTGAAAAAATCAATGACTGAATTATTTTTTTCCTGTTTCCTTTCCACTCACACATTTAAAGACATTGTCACATAGAAAGCATCATGATAAACAAGAGTATCTCAAGGGAATACATAAATATTTACTTCATTTGTTTGAACTTCAAGAACTGATTTATGAATATGCAGTGCATGGAAAAGTTGTAGAATGCATTAATACTATGAAACCATTGAACTCAAGGCTTGTACAAAGGAGATCCTTGCATCCATACCAACTTAAAACATGTCATCATTGTGTATATAGGTATAAATGTATGATATTAACTGTTCATGTATATTTGAAGTAATGACTATTGAAATTTCATTTTATAAGACCAGTAATACAACTTCAACACTTCACCATTTAATATGCTAATGTAAATACTGAGCAATAAAAATAACCTTATAAAAATGTACCAATATTAACTTGTCAAGAACTGGACAATTTTAAAGATGCCATAAACCCAAATGCCACTTAAATCTGACCATTAAAGAAACATTTCAGAGACAGCATTTTGAATATAAGTGTATCCGTAACATACTTCTGTAAGATGCAATGATTAGAATACTGAAAGTACATCCAAACTCCCATGGTATGAAGCTACAATATCCTACACATTTTCAGAACTAAAATGAGAAGCAGAATCCATACATTTCCAGTAAAGACTTTAAAACTTCCACTGTTCCATATAAACTGCACACATATCAAACAGATCTGCTATGTTCACAAGATATGGATGTTAAACAGTACTTTCTTGGATCACAGATCTTCTAGCAAAATTAATTTCTCAGAAACATTTTTATCAATTTAAGTGGTGCTCTGTCGATGTGTGGGAAAAATCATGATCACAGTAATTCAACTGAAAAGAAATATTCCAGAAGGGAGAAAGAGACAGAGAATGCAAGCAAGTACAGATGCTAATTCAGAAGACTGTCTCTCTCAAGAAAAAAACATACATATAATGCACACTATATTTTAAATATATTTTAAACTATCATCTTACAGCCTCTAGGATTTGGTGGTTTTTTGTTGTGTTTGTTGGTTTTGTTTGTTTGTTTGTTTGTTTTTGGTTTGGTTTGGTTTTTTTTTTTTTTTTTTTTTTAAATAAGGCTAACATTCAATCTATGACCTGCAAGCTTTTCAGATGCAAGACAGTTCTGGTTTATACACATGCAAAAAATCAGTGGGAATTCTACTTTTTTTTTTTTAAAGATTAATGAAAAATTTTAAATATTTATGGTTATGTGCATTACAGTTCCAAGTTCAGATCAAATATTCTTTCTCCAGACTTTTTAATCTAAATCAAACTTAAAAGAGTCAGGATTTCCCATATATTCTCAGTACCACTGTAAAGTAGTTGTGATGATGAGGTTATATTTTTTTCCAAAAGAGATAAAACAAATAACCTTCCCAGATTCATTGCACCAGTGATTTTTCAAATAGTTTCTGGCAAGGTTTTTTCTCTTTTTGAGTAACCTGATCTTGATTGACAGCTTTGAACTCTAACTTCCTATAACAACTTCTTTAAATTTAGCTCTAAATATGACCCTTGTCTGAAAAATGTGATGCACTGTTGAGAACCTTATTTGGTGAATTAGAAAGTCATGCTGTGGAAAATAAAAGATGCATGAGCGAATGTAAGGCATACAAATATGGACTGTAAAAATTTTAGAAAAATATTTGTTCACTGAAGGAACGACAACAGAGCACTAAAAATAAACACTACAAGTCCTCCTCCCTTTTTTTAATAGTTTGCTTGAACAGCCTTTCATTACAGAGTTAGTAAAGATTATGGCGAAGATGCTGTTTTAATAAACTCCTCTTATGTAGTTGCTATAAACAAACACACACAGTGATTTTAAATCCTGTTTATTGTCAACATGAAGGTGGGTTCTATGTGTAGCATGTTTGCAGAGCAGTAGAACCAGAGTATGTGAGATTCAGTGGATTCCTCTCCAGAAAGGGAGGAAGGTACTATACTATCTGGGAAGGAAAATTTCAAATATAGAGTATATTTGCCATGCAAACTGAAACGTAACTACGTAGGTATGTTATACTTCACTGAGTTTTGTTTGCTTGTTTTACAAATACACACTCCCAGATCATTGTATGCTGAAATAAAACAGTTGTGCAGGACAGACTGATCAATTTTTACCCTACATATTCATATCCTTTGGAAAATTTCACAGCAATTTCATGCTATCATCAAGTTAATTAGATAATCACTCTCTTAATATTGTCCAGTACCCCTGATACAATGAAACTACTGTATGTAAAATTAAATCTTATTTGTATTTTGTCCATATAACTAATTTCTTTCCAAACAGTTCCCTTCGAAAGGATTTTGAAAAGGCTGATATCTAAAGAGCAACTGGTTTTCCTTCATCGTTGAGTTTAAAGACTCTCATTAAAGATACAATTTTTAAATATGAAGATAAACATATAATCTTAGGATACCTTAAAAGAAAATTTACTGTAACCCTAGAAAAATAAAAACAAGGAAGTTCTAAAGCAATCCCTAAGCAAAAAAGGAAACAAACAAACAAACAAACCCCAAACAACAACAAACAAACCCCACAAAAAAAAAAACAAAAAAAACCAAAAAAAAAACCAGTGGATGCATTTCAACTTCTTCAGAATCTGGATTTAGACCATATCAGAATAAGCACTGCTACAGAAAGCCGTGGGTACTGAGGGAACAAGCGCTAGTAATTAATCTCAAAAAGTCAAGTAGATAATAATTTTTCTTAACAAGATACCAGTGATACTGTATATCAGTGGAATTATTTGATTTCATATGAAAGACTAAAAAAAACTCTGAGCTCCTGATCGACATGATAGCAGATGACTAGACAAAGAGAGAGCTGTGTGTGTAAAGATAGAGGGGTTATACTTCAGTAGCATGGACAAATGAAAAAATAGAACAATTTTCTATCTGAAATAACAAAATTAATACAGTGCTGTTTACTTCCTATCCTAAACTTGTATTGCATGATACAATTTAGTGATAAAGAGATGAGCATATACAGTGCTCAATCTTTTCACTAAAGTGTACGATACTTCCTCTTAAATGTACCTCATTGCTCATAACACTAATTTCACTAAGAGTATTCATGAATGCGTCCTTTACCAAAGGAAAGAAGATAAAACCACACAAAATACTTGATGCTTAAGACAGTAGAAACAGATAGCCTAACTATTTTTTTACTGAAAGCCAGATTCTCTTTTTGGGTTGTCACAGGTGATTTTAAAACTACCCTTTTTCATATTCTTTGCCAGTCTTGTTAACACATTCTCTCAAACAGCTTAACTGAAGAATTTTAACATGGCCCTATACACCACATGTGATGGCCTCAGAACAGTAGAACCTCTAAGAAATTGTTTGCATTTTAGAACTGATGTTTGCATTACCACGGGGTTTAACAAGACATGGTAATAACATGTAGCTCAAAGCTGAATCCTGTTATAATTACACAGGGTAATTCAAAGCAATTACAGGCATGCAGCATTTCTACTTTAGCTCCTTGTTCTCCACAGTCATTTTGGATTCCATATCAAACATGTGATGATGGATTGTCTAACCTGTTTTTAGTGATGTCATTATTTCAGTTCAGATTTAAATAAATTTTTATTCTACCTGGAATAGAAGGTTGTACAGGTTGTATCAGCTCTGGCTGCTGCAGAGGATTTCCAAAATAGACAAACCACTCTTTACCAAAGGATTTTCTCCACCTAAAAAAGACAGAACAGGATCAGTAAGTCAAAGGCAAGTATTGACACTAGTGTAAAAGTTGGAAGCAGTAGTGATCAGGATTCTAAAGTAATAGAAGGCACTTCATAATGACTTGTTTGCTCAGCTTCTTTAAAAACAAACCAAGAAAAATTAGTTTTAGTATCTTTATGACAAATCATCAGAACAAATTAAGAGAGTTTGAATAATGTATTATAAACATCAGTTTGGAGTTGGGAACTGCAGCCAAAAATCTAAGTACAAGAGTCTGTGGAAAACATTCTAAACTGGCTTTCAGCCAATTTTAGGCCTGCCCATTCCAAGGCAGTTCAGGAAGCTGTGGAGGCATCTGGCATAGCTTAGGGACCTACATGAGCTACCTCAGTCTCTCAGGGCTGTCACACTGCCACATATGCAGGCAGTCTTTAATATGATTCTCCTCCCAACTTGCCCGGACGTTTCCTGTGTTAGGGTTTGAGACAAAATCTTTATAAGGAGGCCTTGATGGCTATTTGAAAGCTGACAGCAATGGAGTCATCTCACCATCAGAGTTTTTACAGCCCATTGTTCCAGATCTTTAATCTAGTATAAAGGAATTATTTATGCATAATAGCTCAAGTAGCTTCCTACCCCCTAACCTCAACTCTGCCCCACCTCTCAGTAAAGAATAGAGTTTCTCTTTAATTAAAAATTTCACTACTTGAGTTGTGCATCTAACTACTTGATGCTTTTAAAAAAAAAAAATAAATAAACAAGAAACAAATGAAAATAGCCTCAAAAAAAGTTCAAGCATTTAAGAATTTTTTAAATTCAGTCTATCCAATTTTCCAATAGTCAGTTCATAATCATTCTAAAGCAAGTCTTAATAAAAAAAAAAAAAACAAAACAAAAAAAAAAAAACAAAAAAAAAAAAAAAAAAAAAACAAAAAACAACTAGAATCATTATCATTGTTATAAATAGTGCTTCTGTATTCTGTCCAGATTTTGCTTATGGTAACCGTGTCAGTGCTCTAAATTCCCACTCTCTGTAGTCTGATAAACAATATGGAGTAAACAGATTTATCTAGTCCTGGGCACTTGGAATCGTGTTTTCAAATCTCTTCCAGGCAAATCTCAATGCTTTTCCCCCCCACCCCATTCCCTTGTCCATTTCCAGATTCACAGAATTGCAACTCTAATTCCTTCCAGCTTTCACCCAGTGCTGAAGCCACTGTTCTTAAAAATTCCTGCCTTTTATCAACAATTCCAATCAATTCCATCACTTTACTGCACAAGTATTTCTGATGCCACATTACGAATCCTAATCAAAAACTTGACCTAGCTTAAAACAAACCAAACAAATATTTCCAACACTACCCCCTTCCCTCCACCACCCCAAAAACTTTGATCACATTACTTTCTTGATCTCATTCATGGCTCAATGCTGCAAATGACTGTTGGCACGAATGAATGAGTAGTGTGCTATAGTGCAAGGGCAAAAATTTCTCAGATGGAATTCTAGTGTCAAGGATAAGAGAGGGGGAAAAGAATGCTACAAAATCTGTTTTACAGCCTTTCTTTATTTCCTTCCTTATGCATGGACCTGAAGCACAAACTCACAATAAAGGTAAGGGATTGAAGAACAAAAAGCTTGACTATGAGGGACTACACCTGGCTTGCCATGCTTCACTGTTTAAAAACTGACAACATTAGCAATAAAATGAAAAATGTCTATGCTGGGAAAGAAAAAAAAAAAAAAAAAGCCTTAAACTGCACATTCCAGTAGCTGAATAGTCTAACATCTTGATTATAAATTATTGCTTATGAAAATGCTATTTCATGAACAAAACCCTCCAATTTAATATCCTAAAGTCACTTTCAGAAACATTCTGATATTTTAGCATTCTGGTTTAAGATTTATTATGTAAATTAATCATCTTTATTCAATCTCTTCAGCTCAACTCAGCCTCCCGAATTTTAGGCTGGCTTCTTAAGGAAGCAAGCCTAATACAATTAGGATGTCTGTCTTGTAATTAATTCATGGATGCACTGTTCTATTTCAACTAAATTGGATAGAGAAGAGATTTCAAATGTATTAAATTCCTATACAATTTGTGAAAACGGTAACTCAGCTGACAGAGAGATCCTATTAGAGCACCAACTGAAAGAAAGGCAGGAAAGTCAAGTGACCTGTTGTATCTGAACACACTGCATGGCAAATCAATACACAAGTAGCTATGGAAGAGCTAAAGATGCATTAAAAGGTAGATGGGATTTGGGGAGAGCAGGAGGCAATAGGGACCATACTTGAGAACACCATGTATCGCAGGAGGGAGTTGCCAAGGACATGGGGATAAGTTAAGATGCTAGGAAGGAGCATGGAAATATATTTGCTGAGGGGAAGCTGGTGGGGATAGTCAGTCTTTATGTGTTCCACAACTCATAAAACAACTTACCAAAATGCTTCTTGATTCCAAATGCCAGTGAAATACTATTCTTACATCACCCATTATGCTCAAGCACAGTAAAAACAGAAGTCAACAGGAAACCTCTAGTTTTGTTCTTTTAATGCATGTGAATGTTGGTACAGGATGTAGCACCACATCAGCTGAGTGCTTTTCACTATTACAGTCCATTAGTAACAAAAGTATATTACTGTTCACACAAGTAGCCAAATAAATATAGCTGAAAGCAAGGTCCTGCAAACTGACAGCACATTAACATACCAAGAACAAAATGGAGACATGATTACTAAATGCCAACCCTCCCTGCCTGGAAATATCTCTGGAAAAAAATCAGTAATTTCTCAAATTTTCTTCCCCACAATGCACATACCAAATATCACCAATGAAATTCAAAAAATAGCAGTTCCTTTGTTAAAATAGATTCTAAACAACCTGTGGAAGCACTGCTTAGGCAGTATAAGGAAAATTTCAACTATGTGCAAAACACAAAACATGAGACAGTTGGAAACGCTGTTATGTGTGGTTCCTCTACACCTGCACCAATGCCAGCCCTCCTGAGTGGTCACTGGTGATAACCAGCAAAAATTCTGCTAATGGACTCTTTTTGACAGTGTCAAAGTGAGGGTCAGTCTGGCCTGCTAATGTTAGAACTGGGAGTGATGCCAGGATTTCCAGGAGCTGGCCACGGGCTTAGGCTACATTACACAACCTCCTAATTGGCAGCAGTCACTCAGGTGCAGGTATTTCCATGGACTGCACCAGTGCTAAAGCCTGCTGGCTTTGTTCTGAACTCTTTGCACACAAAAGAGCAAGCTTGGCTGGTCTATCAAGGTGCATTATTTACTGTTATTTTCCCCTCCTTCTTGAATTTTTCCAACTGCACTGTTTTTCTAGGAAAGATGCTAAAAGTTGACCATTTATATATCACTTTATGCAATATTCCACATAATGATCAGAAATAGCTCATTAATTATAAAAATAGTTTTAAAACACACAGGCAACAGATGCCATGTTATCAGGATCACTATCAATCCCCTATTTATTTTTGTAGGGTCAAAATAAGGCTGTGATTCTAGCAACATTTCCCTGAGTAAAGGTACACACATGCTTACCATATACCAAACCATATCAAGGTCATAGCTACATGAGCAATCCTTTCAGCAGCACTGCTAACCTTTACAGGCAACCAATGATTTGCTCATTCCCACTGCCTGCCATTCCCTTGGGCTGTTTCACCACAGCTGTTTGTGGCTACACAGAGAGTCAGATGGGGAAACAGAACCAGGCTAGTTACCTGACTGCAAGAAAGGGAGGGAAGAGAGAGAGAGGGGCTATTTTCAGTTTCTTAAACTAGGCCACCACACAGCTGCACAAACAGCTGCACCAGCACAACTGAGAGGTTGCACAGGGACTGAAATGAGTGGCTGTGCAATAGAAATACTTAAATTGGCACCAACAGCAAAAGAAACACTCATCACACTATGGCTTCAGGCAGTGGCATGATCTAGGTGAGTGACTTCAAAGGATATGACAACATCCAGCTCCTAAGGATTCTCGGGTCTCTTAATCACCCTTGGAAATCTCAATCTAGACATTCAAAACTAACAGTTTCTTGTTTCAGGGTAGAGGAAACAGTTTACATTATTTTGAACCTGTTCTTACTAAAACTGTAAATGCTGCTTTTACTAAATGTTGGCTGTTTGCTCTCCCTATTCAACAGTAAATAAGCAGATTTGAAAACTGCAAAGAGGTCAGTTTCCAACACAGGAATCTTGTAATTGAGGGATCTTAAGGAATAAAAAAGAGGATCACAAACACATACATCTTCACTGCAAACTGGAACATTGTGTAGAGTTAGCCAAGTTAGCTTCAAATGAGCTACATCAGCAACTGCATCACAATGGTAGCAGACTCCACATGGACTAATTTAATTGGTTGACTCCTTCCAATAAACTCTTTTTTAATGCTAATCCAAAGTAATTCTACATTATAACACAACCTACATACAGCACATGTTACTTTTTCTCATCTACCCCTCATCAAATTATAAAAAACAGTCAACTTGACCTCATCTGAGGGAAACTGGCAAAGGATTCTACGTACTCTGTAAAGAACAAAACTTCCTTGTAGGTCTAGCAGCAAATTAATAAAAAAATAATGCTTACATTTACTTAGGAATCCCCATATAGACTCTGATTAATGATCTAGATTCTTGACTTAGAAGCAGCTATACACTGGAATAAAAAAACAACCCATGAACTACTAGGAAGTGACATAGTTAAAGCTTGGGTTAGGGGCAAATATATGCACTAAAAATGCAGATTTACTAGGGGTGCCCATGCAGACACACTCTACCTACCTTTGTGGAAGGGTTAAGGATTGAGGGTGCACTATTATTTACTTTAGAAAATTATCTCTGGAATTTGAAGCAGAAACTGAGAACAAATAATACATGCTATCTGCGGTTTTATTCCAAAATCACTTTCCTAAAAGACCTCTCACATTCAAATTTCAGTTTCAGTAAGATTCTAAATTAATGTTTCTGTATTTCAACTCTAATCTTCTTCATCTGAGTACTACAAACATTGTAACACAAATGCAAATCTGCCTACTACCCTCCCATCTCGCAGCAACAATTGTTAATTAGAAGTTTTGTCTGGATGTTTCTGAAAACATCAATGAATATCCTGCTGCTTAGAGGAATAAACAAAACCCAACCAAATTATAATCGTCTACAAAATTTAAAGGCAGTAGGCCGAAAAATTAAAAATGACAGATATGCATGATTACCGCTGAGATTTTTGTTACTCTCTCCAGATGACTATGTTAACTCTGATTCAGTTTTTCCTATTTTTTTTTCCTATTATGGCACAACTTCAACCTCTAGTTGCTGAAGGAAGTCAGGCATTTAATTACCTTTCTGTGCCTTTCTAAGCACATAGTTTGAATATTAGGTCTGATGGCGGTGCACTTTCATCAACAAAATGTAAAGTGATTACCAAGGAAAAAATCAACATATTAAAAAGTATAAAAGTTCAGAACATTTTTAATTTTCAACTCACTGCCTAAAAGACGTTGTAAAGATAACATTTAACTAATGGAAGTCTTAAGAACATAAAATTTGTCCAAGGATGTGAATAAAGAATTCTCTGTCTTAAAGCAGAAGAATGTAAGCACAGATATAGATATTGATATACACACACACCTGCTACAGATTCTGTTTATACCACTGGATAAAGAAATCATACTTCTTGTACTTTGATGAAAGAACTAATAATCATGGGCATGACTATCTGCATTTGTATTACTACAATAACTACACTATCCACTGTTCCTAAAACTGCAGACTTAAAATCAACAGAAGCTAAAACTGTAACAGTGCATTCCTGTTTTGCATAAGAGTATTACAACTCACTAATTCATCAGGAGCTACACTAATCAAAGAAACATAAGGTTTCATATCCTCTCAAGTTTTCAAAGTCTTCTAAATTTCTTTGGTTTACTCAATCTTTTGATCATTAACAACTTTCACAACTTCCCGTTTAACAAGGAAAAAACCTCCAATTTTTAAAAATCTCTTTAAAAATCTCTGAAATTCAACAGCATATAGAAAAACTGCAATTTCATTGTCACATTTTCTCTTGATTCCTTAAGAAGTACACTTCAGCTGCCCACAGTTTTTATCCTAAATGTCATGTTGACATAGCCACTGAAACAATGAATTCAAGATTTCATATTTCAAAACTGAAAGTATGCTTGAATAATGGTGTAAGTAGTTTAATTCTTACCTTTTCCAGATTCCAACAAGACAGAATAAATATGCTGACGAGCCGGGCGGTAGATAAGTGCCTGTCCAGGAATCTCTGTATCACATTCATCTTCCAAAGAGTTGCTGCAGGCAATCTCTCCATTACTCAGGATATTAAAGATTGTATAATTTTCAGATTGGATGTGCTGTTCTTTAGCTAACTGTTTGTTCAAAGAAGGAAGAAGACATTATCTCCAAAATTAAAAAGGATCAAAAAGTAAAAAAATGTATTCACTCTTTGAGGAAATAGTACTTCCTCTATCAGTAGAAATTGAGGGATTGGCCAGGAAGGGAACAAGTGCTTTTTGCTCTGCATTCTCTACATGTGTCACGCTAACTGTGTTATTTGAGTTGTGCCATCCATGCAGCTATCTCAGCCCAGACCACCGGTAAGAGTAAAATTCAGCATTTCTGCAGAATTCCCCTATCTGCAAACCTGGGAACTCAGCAGGTCAAAGCTGCAGTTAATCAGTGGGTCATGACTGATCAAAACTAGTTCTACTGAAATGTTATACTTTCAGAAGAAATTCTCACATGCGCATAAAATCAATTATAGGCTTCTGTGTACAATGCCAATCAACAGAGCATTTTCTTATAGCAATAAATTAATGGTTGCACTGGAAGAAATACTTCAGTATTCCTAATATGCGTAAACAATGTAATCCCACAAATCTACTTCTGTATAAAACGAAAGCAAAGAGTTAAGTATTTCTAAGCATGATTTGAATGGAGCATTGCACTATTTCATACAAGCCACTGTCAGATATGAGATCATTTGAAAACACCAGCTTCTTGCAATTTGCCAATAATCTACATATCCTAATGTACTGAAAAAAAAATACAAGCTGATTTCAATAGTAATGCTGTATTCAGTGCTTCATCTTGGAAAATATTTCTGATTTACAACTACAGTCAGCTAGAAAGTTATGTTCTTTTCCGAGAGAAGGATCAACATGAGGCTATGTCCTCAAGGTTGGAACTGAGCTGTGTATGTCATTTATGTGCAGTCCAGATTAGGTGCAAGGTAAGCAGAACTACATGTGGGTTTCAAAATATGAAGCAAAGCACACACATTGCATATACAAATATTTAAGCTCCTGTAACAAAACCAAAAGGCAAGTTAACATGTCTGCAATTTTGACTGTAATTTCCTTGGCCCAGGGACTGGCTTAACATAGGATTTACGTAGCAACAGTGAGGCATTCTTCAATGCAGTTTCTAAACATTATTATTTTATTACAGCAGTAGCTCAGCATGATGCTACAGAACTGCAATCCTTCAAATGAAAGATCAAGCCAAGGAATAATGACCACTTGTCATAAAGATCGCATGGTACATTCTCTTAAGGAGTAAGGATATTAGTCCTTATTGTCCTGGCCATAATCCAACCTAGGTAACTGCATTCTGGCTCATTTTTCCTTGCACTTCAAGCATCAACAGCATTTTTCAACACTTTATTAGGATGCAGAGTTGTTTGGTTTTTGGTTTTTTTTTTTTAAATAATGCATTCTATTTAACTACTACAGTCAAAAGTGACAAGTATTTTATCTATGTGTGGTTAGTAAAAAACCACAAAGATATCTGCAGTTTAGCTTAAATGAGCATTGCATAGGTTACAATATCGTTTTGAAATGTTTTAGAGTGTTTATAGAAAATGAAAATGTAAATTATAGGATTACTTTAGAGTAATATAAGGAAACAGAAAAAGTTTTAAAGAAAATGCTCAAGATAAGTAAAAGATAGAGATAAAAAAAAAAAGCTTTCTATTTGAAATCTATAGGTACCTAACAAAATAGGGACTAACATATGGCTAATATAGGGTCTAAACTACACTACCACATATAGATTTTTCTTTTTATTAAATCTCAATCTGTTATCTTAATTGCCATGAATTTTCATAATTGTACTCTAGAGTTACTACTATTGCATAAACTCTGATGCAAGGTAGCTCCATTTCTATCAGCCGGATAGGCTACCCTAATATATCCAATCTCCCAGGGTGACCCAATCTGACATACCATTTCTCACCCTAACACCAGCACATCTCTGCCCATGTGGGAAGCCTTAAGTGAAACATACAAGTGCAGTCCTGCCCTTTAAAGATTAACAAACCACTCAAAGTGCTTCTGGTTCATTCAGGGACAATGAATCTGAAGGATAATTAACTTGAACCAAAAATCACAAAATACAGTTTTATATGAAGTTGCCTCATCTCCTCCACAAGAGCAATTTCAACTCCTGTGTTCATAGCACAGTTCCCTTTGGTACCTTGACTGCATCTGCCAGGGACAGCCAAGCAGACTACTAACCAACTGTAGCTGACCTGTGGGTTCTCAAAGCAAAAAGAAAGTCATTACATTGTGCAATACATGGAAGTATTGGGAAGTACATCTCTTTACCCAGCTATAGGCCTATACAGGAGCTGCAACCCATGATTTGACCTGCTTGATGCTTCAAGAAGAGAGGAACCACTTTTCATTAAATGTGCTGCATCTGCCCTCATTATCATGCATGTAAGAGTCCTAGACAGACAGAAGATTTTGCTCAAGCAAATTTAAATCAATTGGTATGGTGTATTCATTATGAACTTCCACTAAGTAGTCATGGCAATAAAGTGACCATTAAGCTTTAAAAACCAAGGTACCTGAAAGATTTCTTTATCTTGACACAAGGCTGTCTGTTGTTGAAGGGAGAACATTGGGCAATTTGTTAAGTTGGGGGGAATCCATGGAGACTGCTGCCCTGGCAAAAGATAGGACTCCACTCCTCTGTGAAGTAATGACTTGTCTGATCCCAAAGGTAGCATCTCTTCCAAGTGTTTGAGGCTGCTGTATGAGCATGGAACTTTTGAGATGTAATTTGCTACAGCTAGAAGTATGTTTGTTCTCCTGTTGTAGCTGTTATTCTTGTGGGGACTGGTGACTAAACATTTATGCCAAAAGCCTTCCAACAAGCTTTCTGGAACAACATCATTGCCAAGCAAGCAAGCAAAGAGAGGGAGGTGTGTCAAACTAAGACCCAACGCACGGCAAAGATCTTCTCGAGAGTACATAACAGTGACTAGTCTGTCCAAAGAGAGCTTCTCGATGGAAAAGTAGGGGCACGTATTATAGATGAGGTAGTCACTATCTTGCCCGAGAATTCCTATGCAGTTACGTTGCAAGCCATATGCAGCCACTTCAAAGTCTGCCTCTTGCAATGTACATACTGTTTCCTGGCCAAGTGACTTCAGGGCAAAACGTGTAAAAGTAGGCAAAGCCGAAGGAACAAAGAACATTCCTTGCCCTGGTTGTTTCCTGTGAGTCTTGATAAACTGAAATATTCTGGCTATTTCCTTGTTATTCTGCAACCTCCGTTTGATCCACTCATCTCTCTTTTTCTCTTCTACCACTCCATCAAAGTAAAACACCAACTTGATACCAGCTGCCATAAAAACTTTAATAAAATCCTCTAAATTGGCAAGGTACTCCCGCCACTGGCCACCACACACCCAGGATTCCGGTGTATACCAGTATTTAACACAACTCATGGCATCCACTACAATAACAGGTGGGAAATCAGGGTAATCAACGCGATGTTTTTCTGCCATCTCTCTCAGATCTACTGTTCTGCATGCATCAGGGCAAACTCTGGCCACAAATCCTTGTAAACCTTTAATGCCCATGGCTGATCGCTGAAACTCACAGCAGTCTGAAAGAAGAAAAATAAAAACAACATTCTAAAATGCAATACTGAGAAATGTAATAAAATTCTAAAATCAAAGAAAAGCAGATTGGATACAGAACAGTTAGTTTTCTGCTTTTGCTGATAGCTTGTTGTGTTATCCTGGCCTTTAAACAGTTTGAACTAGTTTTGTTCCCATCAACAAACAGGAAAAAGTGCCCATTCTCTTTGCTTTCAGTTTCTGCTTGTTTACACCAGTGAAAACTGCAAATACCAAAAGGTTTTCATAAACAAGACTTTAAAAATTTCAGATTAATAGTGTAAAATATATAAAAGTATGCATTGCTAGAAAAACAACTATTGATGTAATTAAAAGCCTTGTAACAGCTAACAGTTTACAACACAGAAATGGCTTGATTTTCACACTAAAAGTATACGAACATGTTTAACAGAAACCAGCAGAAAAAAATACTGAATAATTCTGGAAATCAGTCTCATACCTTGATTGTGTAAATGGCTCAGTTACCATCTGGCTTCATAGACAGGAGTCCACTGATATGGCACCAGCTGCAAACACCTCTACTTTTGCAACAGCTTTGGTAGTATCAGTTCTGCTTTGAATCAGAAATTCAATCCATTTTACCACCCTGTCATTTGAAGACATAGTTTTCAAGACCTGTTTAAAGAATTAGAGGTTTACCTATATTTTGTGAATCTATAAATCTGACTATCATTAGTAGCGAAGTTAATATATTAAATGGGATTTCTAACATGCACAGCAATTTTAAACCAATCTATTTTAAAAGACATGTGCAAACTTCAGCTAGAAATTAAATAATTAAAAATGCAATGAACCTATTTTCCATTTAGGCAATACGAAAAGATTGAAGAAGAGAGTCTCCAACTTCTGTGGCAGAACTTAAGAGCATGCCAGATGAACCAATTTACACAGTCCATAGAGAGAATTGTGGGACAAAAACTAAAACCATTGATGACTTCCATTGTTATTTCTAGAAGGAAGTCTCAAGGCAAAGAAGTTTGGCACAGCTTCTAAGTTAGATGTGCTCTTTCTTCTACTACAGCATCAATTTCCTCTAACGCAGCACCATTTTATTTTAAAGGTCCCTGCAATGAAAAATGGAGGTAAGAAGCTCCATCAAGCTTTGTTTTCTTCTTCATTCTCAGCAAATGTTTTGTTTTTATTTTGATTTTACTCAAAAGTCAAATCCCTTCCCAGTTAAACAGTGAGGAAATTAATTAAACAGGCACATTTTTTTCCTGTTTTTCACACTGCTGATTTCTGACATTCCAATTACAGACTGTCTCAGGATTGTTACAATATGCATGCTTATAGCGTACAAAAAGAAAAAAAGGTTGAATTCACAAAAGTACTGTGAATTTACAGCTTTTAAAGATATTCCTGAGTCCCTGGACTTTAAGTATCTAATACTCTCCAGATACAGTTTTTACATATCACTCTCTTTAATCATAGAATGGTTTGGGTCGGAAGGGACCTTTAAAGGTCATCTAGTCCAAACCCCCTGCCATGGGCAGGGACATTTTCAACTAGATTAGGCTGCTCAGAGCCCCGTCCAGCCTGACCTTGAACATTTCCAGGAATGGGGTCATCTACCACCTCTCTGGGCAACCTGTTCCAGTGTTTTATCACCCTCATTGTAAAAAATTTCTGCCTTATATAATGCATTATTAAATACATACGAAATAAAGCTAAGAGCATACAGTAGACCTCACTGATATAAAATCAGAAATAAATGCATACAAATCTGCTTCAGTGCTGCACATGGATACAAGGTAGGGCACTGTTCCCTCTACGATGTTACTTCCAAGATTACGTGGGTGCCCTTGAGACTCCAGCCATTTGCTTTTCCAGGAAAGCTGCACCTCTGCTTCCAAACGGTTTGAACGCTAGTAGGTTATTGGGTTTTATTACTTTCCATGGAGGATTAGCAATGGGTGTGAAGGTCTTCATCTTTCAATCACTAACATATGCTGTCAGACTAAATGATCCGAGGTCACTATACAGATGCAGTATGCCATGGCAGGTCTTCTGCAAAAATGCACTGCATCCATGCAAGTTTTAGTTATGATTCAGTACAGATTCTGTCCATAGTAGCTATACACCTAGAGCAAGAAGTGTGGTGAGCAACTTACTAGCTATACTGTGCTGTAATAAATGGGAAGGAACATTTTCCCACCTCCTCACACTTGTATTTGAAGCACTCCTCTTGCCTCACAATTTAAGCAAGCCTGTGATAATATGAAAAATTTCCAACACCCGTACTAGTTTAGCTTAATCAGTAGCAAGTTCACATCCAAACACACAAGCAAGCACTTTGGCCACTATCAGCATTTTAATACTACTATTAAACACATTCACTGAAAGCATAACAAAAAATAAAGCGGTTGTATTCTGTCAACCATCTTGTTTCACTACAGAACAGTAACAGCTGCGTTAAGGAAATAACTCTGTAACAAATCACAGTAACAGAAAAGAGAAAAAGAAAAATCTACTGACTCGAGAAGTACTTTCATCTCAAGCACCTCAATAAAGCTGGCAGAATAAGGACAAAAAAAGTATTATCTTGTCATGCTAAGTTTCCCAATAGTGGAAAACATGCACATTCTGTGCCACAGATAAACAGTTTAAGGCTGGATACCTATTTCTGTCACTTGTGTGAAATGGAGATCTCGGGTTACCATAGGATCCCAACTGCACTACTGTCAAGTGCATGACTCTGCAGGGGGTGGGGGGGGAGGGAAACAACTTTTTGCCACAAACTGATGTTAACAAAAAACGTTTCTCCTCCCCCCCATTTTATGCAGACATAAAAGCTCAGAGAGCTGACACCACTAAGCTTCATATTGTCAGCAAGCAACTACCACAATACAAATTTTATTATGCCCGTAGTAACGCGCAGCGCTGCGAAGGGTTGCTAGCAGAAATGTTCACCACAACCGCTCCAACCCTCGCAAGAGCCCTGTGGCCGAGGCCCGCAGCACAAGGGACGAGAAACGAAGCCCCTCCACTTCCGACGAGCTGCAGCCCCCCGCCGCCTAGAGGGGCCGGAGCCTGTCCCCGAGGCACGCCAGCGGGAGGCGGGCGGCCACGGCAAGGGCCGGCGGCACCCGCCCCCCGCCGCGCGGGGGGCCGAGGCCTGCACCGGGCGAGGTGCGAGGGCCGCCGCGCCCGGCCCCGGATAGGGCCGAGCTTCCCCCTCGGCGGGCCGCGTTGCGAGCAAGAACCGAGGCTCCCATCCCTCTCATCCGCGACAAACACCCACCTTCCCCCCCCCCCCCAACACCCCTCGCAGCGCGTCCGTTAAACGGCCCCCACCCCCTCCTAACGCCCCCCCGGCACTGACCCCAGCCGGCGCTTCCGCTTCCCGCGAGGGCGGGGCCGCGCATGCGCCCGGCGGCGAGGCCCGGCCTGAGGGGAGGGGGCAAGGGCCGCAGTCCGCGTCCCCGTCCCCGTTCCCGTCCCTGCCGGGGACAGCCGGCCACAGCGGGCCCCTTCGCACGGCAGCGACGGGGGGCCGGGCTGGTTTGAGCCGCGGCTGTCCCCGCCCGCGGCCTGGTGTCCCTCGGCTTTGTACGGCCACAATGGGGCCGGAGGGGCCTTTGTGCCCCCGAACAAACCCCGCCGGGGCGGAGATGGGGGAGGGAGGCGGGGGGGAGATGAAAGCGTCGTGCACCGAAATGGCTTGAAACCCATCACCCCCCCCAAACCCCCCCTCCCCCCGGAGCCTGTACGTCGGAGATTTATGTCGGCCCTGGGCTGCGCGGCCGGCTGAGCCGTGGGTAAACAAAGCGGGCCGGGGCGGCCCGGCGGGCGGCTGCACCGGGCCCCGGCCCCGCGGGGAGGGGGGGGAGGAGGACGGGTCGCCCCGGGTCGGCTCGGCGCTTCCCCGCGGAGGGCGGCCCCCGTTTCCCCGGGACGGCGGCCGGGCTGCGGGCGCGGCGGGAGCGCGACCCGCTTCCACCCCGCCGGCAACAGGTGGGGGGACCTGAATAACTTCACATCTTCTCGGGGGGGGGGGGGGGGAGAGAGAGAGAGAGACGTGGGGGAGCCGGTGGGAGGATTAGCTCGGATGTTATTGCCGGTGAAAAATTAAACAGAGCGGTGCTCTGGGGAGCACAGATTAATATATTTGGTGACTCCGCGTGCACAAAGCCTCGCCATTGTAGCCGTGGCTGAATGCCTGTGAATAGGACGGAGCATATGTGGCCTGTCACCGCAGGTGCCCACATCTGTTCGTCTCCGGGCAGATGCTCTCAGAAAATGGGAGAGCATTTCCAAAAGCTCGGGCCCGCCCCGTCCATACCCATCCTCTTTCTCATAATCACCTTCTGCAGAGGAGTTTCTGCCCCCTCCTTCTCCCTCCCCCCTTGCCTTCCCCCCCTGCGCATGGAGAGAGGTGGAAAGAAATAAAACCGACGCAAATTGGAAGTGGCTTGGAAAGCCCTGGAAACGTACAATCAAGCCAGCTCCACCCTACCACCCCCCCCACCCCCCCCAAAAAAAGGTCTATTAGCAGCAGGTTTTGCGCTGCAGCCAGAGCACAATATGCAAGATGTGCGCACTGCTTGGGGGGGGCTGCGGGCCACGGGGGAACAGAAAACCCCTTCACGCATGAAATGCAGTACAGTACAGCGGCACGCTGTGCTGGATGTCACGGGGGGAGAGTGGTTTGCGCAGCTACTGTCTGGAGTGATGGTTTGTAGCTACTGTTTAGAGCTCTGGCTTATGATGATTAATAAAACCGGGGGAAAGAGAAGAAGGAGTTTCCCTACGAGGACGGGGGAACGCAGCGAATTTTGCTACCGAAGTTGGTAGCAGAAGGGAATCTTTCCAGCCATCCAGCGAAATCACAGCCGGAATGCAAAACATTTTTCCGAGCAGTGCCGTCACGTTTTTCATCCCGTGTACACGATATGAGCCCGGTTGCTCGCCCTCCGCGCCCTGCGACACCCCCGCCAAGACAAGCCAGGCCTCAGCGCTGCCCGGGGTGACAGCGGGGTTGCCTGGCGGGGCGGGTGGGGTGCTGGGGCGAGGGATGAATCTCGGGAGCACGGGATATTTCGGGTCGGAAGGGTCCTCGGACGGTCATCAAGTACAAAGGCGATCCGTGGTTTCTAGCGTGTCGAAGATCGTGAGTGTCCTTGGAGTTGAAGGGGGGGCAAAGAGGCCAGTTCTCCAAATGCGAGGCTGAGCTGCTCCCCAGAGGGACGCGGGCGGTGAGAACGTTTAAATCGCCATGTCCCGGAGCAGAGACGGGGGAGGCGGCAGGAGCCGCCCGGCCCGGGGCACCCGCGGGAAGTTTCGGGGGAAGGCGCCTTTCCCCCGGCCCCCAATGTCCCCTCACCCCCGGGAGGCCCCGCGGCTCTGCCTCCCGGGCCGGCGGTGGGCGCCCTCGCAGGGGTACGCAGCCCTTCGCCCTTCTCTCTTTGGGAGCGACGGCTTCATGGTCGCGAGTGTCCAATTTTATTCCTCGTACTTTCCCACAAGCAAAATCCCATCGGAAGCAAGCCAGGGAGCAAACACAAACAAACAAGTAGCGCAGCGGAGCGGGGTGGTGGTGGTTTGGGGGGGGTGGGGGGATGGGGTGTTGGTGTAGGGGGGGGCCTCGCTTTCTCCTCGTGTGCAATCAGTAAAACACATATAGGGGCCACTTCGGGATTTGCCCAGGGAAGGGTTGGAGAGCAGCTGGCTGCGGTAATCTCCTCGGGAGACAAAGGAATGCCCGGTCCCAGGATCACAGGTAAACACACAACCATTGTAATGAAAATGAGGGGCTAGGATAGGGCCGGAGCAGATGATTTGCGATTTGAAAAAGGGGGCTGGGGGGGAGGGAAGGCCCAGAGCTGCTTATCTATCATCTGGCCTCGCTGTGTGCCAGCTGAGCCACGCGACTGCCCTTTCTTATTCTAATCAGCACATGCCTTTGCAACTTTGGGCTAACCTACACGCTAAACTTCTTAATCCCCCTCCCCGCACACGGCAAGGGTGGCGGAGCGCCCCTCCGCCACCGCGGCACCTCCGCGCCCGCCGCCCACCCGCCTCGGATCGGGGTGCCCGGCGGCGGGGTCCCGGGCAGCGCCAGCACCCTGGTCCCGCCGCCGAGCCCGGGGCCGGCGGGGGAGCCGGACCCCCGGCCCGGGGCACCCCGCTCACCCTCCCGGCCCCTCCAGGCTCGGCCCTGGGGGCAGGTGAAGGGGGCATGCGGGGAGGGCTGCAGCGGAGGGGCAGTCGCGCACACATACCTCCGTAGGGACTATAGACCTAATTAAAATATTATGCACACTCGGCTACACATAGCTCCACACGTACTCGTCCCTCCGCCGACGCACCGTTCGCCATATGCCCAGAGCCCACCGTCCCGGGAAAAATCAGGGTTGCGCGCCAGCGATGGCAGCGCGTCGCCCTAATTAACAGCCCCTCTACTCGCCCCCCCCCCCCCCCCCCCTCGCTTTGAAGTGACTTTTCCCATAATCTGCCTCGTCTAGAAATAAAAGCCGAGGCTGATGGGGAGCTCTCGGCCGCGCTGCTGCGCGGCGGGACCGTAAATCCTCCGCAGGGTAGGAGCGGGGGGGCCGGCGTTGCGGGAAGGGTGTCAGTTAGGGGCAGGGAGGGAGAGCACAATACCCCACCAGCCCCAGCGAGCCGCTGGCGGGCGGGGCCGGGCCCGCCGCGTCCCGGCCGTGCGGGGTCACCGCGCCCCGGCGGGGCCCAGGGCACCGCGCCCGCCCCCCCGGGGCGGAGGGTTTGGGGGTGGGGGTGTGTGTGTGGGTGTGTGTGTGTGTCCCGTCGCCGGCTCACCCCGGCGGGGCGGGCGCGGCCGGGCAGGGAGAGCGTCGGGAGGGACCGTCCGTCCGTCCGTCCCCGGCAGCCGGGGTCGGTGGCGGTGCGCGGGCGCGGTTAACACCGCGGGGGCGGCGCGGGGGGCGGCGGGGGGCGGCGGGCGAGCGCGGTGCGGAGACACGCGGTTGGGAGCGAAAAAGCGCCATTTGGTTGGGAGCAGATGGCTGGCTGGGGGGCTGATCGCGTCTAAAGGCGTGTCATCCCCCTTCAGCGAGAATCCCTAAGGGCTCCCCTTGTCTTCGAAATCAATGAAAATTAAAGTGCAGAGAATGGATGAATAGTTAGACCTCGAGTCCCTCCTTTGTTCGCCTCAGCTACTGGTGGGCAGGAGTTAAACTACAACAGCCTCCTATAGAAACACTTAAGTTAAACAGTCTCCCCGTTAGCCCAGCATCTGAAAGAGAGAGGGAGAGGGGGAAAAAAAGCAGAAAAAGGAGCTTTCTGCTTGATTTCCCCAATACAGAATCGCGTGGCATAAATTAAGCCGGAGAAGAATGAGCGCCGTGGGCAGGATCCTGCCGGCTCTCACGGCGCCTTTCAGTCACGCTCAGCAGCGGTAATCGAGAAATCTGTGCCACGTCAATTTAACAAATACCCGGTACCGAAGGGGGGTTGTTAAGGATTTGGGGGCAAGTTTTTTCGGGTCTTTTTTTTTTTTCTTGTTGTTGTTTTTTTCTATCGCTAGGTTAAAGCCCTCGCGCGTGTAACTTTTTATTTCCAGTTTTTTAAGCAAGGGGATGCTAATGGACCAACTTTCTATCTCTCGTAGATTAAAAGATCCGCGGTGATATATCACTTCTGGCCTCCACCGGCGGGCTACCCCCAAATTTCAAGACTGATATTGTCCCCCACCTCCGCCCCTCTCGCTTAGTAAACCTGATGCGGAGTGATTTCCACTCCCCCCCCTCCCCGCCCCGTTCTCGGGGATAACGCCGCAGCAAAGTTTGCGAAGCAGTGGCAAGCCACTTGAAAAGATGTTGACGCTAGGTGGCAAAAGTAATGTACGGTTAAAGCCGGCGCTGGTGCTGGGCGCGCCCCCCCCGCCGCTCCCCGCTCCCTAGGCTGGGCCCGTCCTGCGGGGACCCGCCGCCCGCTCCGCACCGCTCCGCCCTCGCAGGGTGCCGGCGGGATCGCTGCTCCACTCTCTGCCCACATATCACTCTGGGGTGGAAAAAAAAAAAATAAAAAAAAATAGAAAACAAACCCCCAAAACCCCAAACACAAACATTCCTCTACATTTAAGCTTTCGCTTAAGCGTCGATGGGCGGGAAGAGGGGCAAAGAATAGTACCGGGGTGTAGGTGGCTTGTTCGACCAAAATTAGACGTAAAGGACACACGCGTTGAGTGGCGAAACGTTGTGAAAGTCTGGGTGCTTGTTTAAGTAGCGAGGGTACCTGACTGGGTTTGGGGTAGGTGCCCCAAGCCCCCAGTAAATGAACGTGGGCAGCTACAGTCCTGGAACAGTCAAGAAGAGCTGGGCTGAATGAACTCATTAGTGATTTTCTTTTAATTGGTATTACCCAATGCTTTTACTTTTAGAAGTCTTTAAGATTTTTTTTTTTCCTAGCGCATTGTAAGATAATTTGTGATCAAGACATCTGCTTCAATGAAAGTCACATTTTGCCATGCAAATGCACGTTTCAACCCAATAAAGTCGCCATAATAAGGCTTTTAGCACGGCATACCTACAGTGAGGTTATTGTAGCCAAATCCTCTCCTTTTGCACACAAGCTTAATCTGTGCTGAAATGATCTGTTACAATTAAAATGACATTTACAGAGACAGTTACACCTTGCATCCTAATGAATCCGCCTGCCCCTACCGAAGGTGTTTAAACAGAGGGCCCGAACAAAGTGGAAAACCCCACTTCGAGTGTCATGCCAGAGTCGCCCTCCAACTTTTATGCCCCGCTTCCATCCATCATTAAGAAACTGCTCAAATGGTAATCATCTCGATCTCTCCTTCACCGCACCAGTAAACTCCTTTCCATGATTTTAAGATCAAAACAAATGTTCTAGTGTCTGATGGATATGTTAAAAAAAAAAATAAGGTGACGGTTGGTGTAAAGTTGGGTTGTGGGGGTTTTTTGGTGTGTGGTTTGGTGTTTTTTTTTTTGTTTGTTTTTTTTTTTTTGTTTTTTGTTTTTAATACGGAGGGGGGAAGTGCTGGAAGGGATTTCTTTAAAAAATGTGCGGACATTGTTGTAGAGGCAGTAGCGTGCGCCGAGGGGAGCTCTTTCTCTCCCTCGCATTGTGCAGGGAGCAGGTGCTGTCTACATTACCATACAGCTGAGAGCACAAAGAGCTAACTGATTCAGCCCTCACACAATAACAAACGGCCTTAATGACAGCCACGCGAACGACACACACCAAACTCACTTTTTACTAAGCTGAAGGAGGAAAAAAGAGAGAGAGAGAGAGAGAGAGAGGGAGAGGTTGCTAGTGATGATGATAATAATCATAGAGGGGTGCGGGACCCGGGAGGAGCGGGTGGCTCTCTCCGGCAGCGGTGGCGGCGGGGACGGGACCCACGGAGCCCCGCGGACGGGTCCCCTCCACGGGTCCCCTCCGCCACCCCGCCCGCGCCCTCCCTCGCCGCCGGGACCCCCGGGGACCCCCCTCCCCTCCGCCGGCGGGATGCGCGCTGGGAGCGGAGCCGAGGGAAGAGCGAGCCCCGGATGGGTTCGCTCAGATCCATCCCCCCCCCCCCAAATACCCCGGCGATGCCAGGGGAGTTGCGGTGTGAATTTCAAGGGATCCGATTCCCCTTGTTGCGGCTCGCCGGCTCCCACCTCCCGCGTCCCTTTAAAGCCGAAGATGCCCCGTGGAAGTGGTCGTGATCACCGAGTTACTTTTTGGGGGCACGGCGGTTGCTTTGCACGTTTCGAGAGGTAATTACAGCCCGCCCGTCCCCGGGGTTATTTTATTGCTGGAGCGTGTGGCGCTGCCTCTCCCCGGTGCAGCGGGGGTGTTACCCTCTCCCCGGAGCAGAAGGGGGATTCTTGCGGTTACCAAATTTGCAGGAATGTAAATGAGCACGTTTTGTGAGCGCGGAGGGGAGGGGGAGGAGGGTTGCACATTTTACAGCTCACTGACCATTTGGCGATCCATTGAGAGGAGGGTTTGGAAAAGTGGCTCCTTTGTGACAGCTCTAGCCAGATTGGGGGGCTGCTCATTTGCATCTCATTAGGCATGCAGGCGGCCGGCGGGATATAAGGGAGGCAGGCGCCCAAGGAGAGGCAGATCCTTAGCGCTTCACCCTCGGAGAGAGCCGCCGAGCCGCGGAGCGGAGCAGAGCAGGCACCCCCCTCCCCCGTGGGAGCACACCCGGACACGCTCAGTGCGCCGCTATTGAGACACGAGCTTATTTTTGTTGGCTGGGATTCCTCTAAAAACAAAAGTAAGCCCACAACAAGGAAAGAGAGCTTTGCTTCTTTTTGCAAAAAAAAAAAAAAAAAAAAAAAAAAAAAAAAGGAGGGGGGGGATCAAGGCTCCGACGTGACCTGCTGCCCGCCGCCGCTGCCGTTTGACACCCACCAGCCCCGACGTGCGCAGGGCGAGCGCAGCCGCGCAGAGCCGCTCCCGCATCTCACCGCACCGGGAATTATCGCCGCTGCCGCCGCGTCCGCCGCTGCCTCTGCAGGGATTTCCAGATCGCCGATTTTTAATCTTCCTTGGGAAGCTTTTTCTTTGCCTCTGTTGGGAATTAAGTTGCTTTTATTTTTTTTTTTTTTTTTTAATTTTTATTTTTTCTTCCTGGAGAAAAGGAGGAGCACCGTGGATTGGGAAAGAAAGAGTTTAGCAGATTAATTTTAGCCTTTTTTTTTCCTTTTCTTTTCTTTTTTTTTTTTTTTTTTTCCTTTCTTTTTCTTTTGCCATCCGAACGAGCTGTCAGTCTCCGACAGGCTACACCTAGAGGTATCGACAGAGGGGAAAAAAAGTCAGAGACACTCCTGAAAGAAGGAGACCGTGACACTAACTCTTCCAGCTCTGCTGGGGCGAGCGGCTTTGGCCGCTGTATTTTTTTTTCCCCTTCCCCCGAGAGATACTTTCCCCTTTCCCCTCTGACGAGAAGACAAGGAGGAAGAAAGCGAGGGCACCAGAGCTGCCCCTCCAAAATGGGAGATCGGTTCCTGCTGACGCTCGCCCTCCTTTCGGTGCTGCTGAGCCGCTGCCAGGTAAGTGCCCACGGGGTGGGGGGCAGAAATACCTGCGGTGCCCCCTACACCGGGGGTCCCGCGGGGGTGCGGGGGACCGCTGCTGCCTGTTGCAGCCGGGAGCAGCGGGGAGGGGGGTGTCGGTCCCTCTGACGCCCGGCGGGGCTGGGGTCGCGCCGGGGGAGCGGGCTGCCCGGCGGGCTGACGGCCGCTGTCCCCGCCCGCAGGTCGGCTGCTCCGGGGTCTTCGAGCTGAAGCTGCAGGAGTTTGTCAATAAGAAGGGGCTGCTCAGCAACCGCAACTGCTGCCGCGGGGGCGGCCCCGGCGGCGGCGGGCTGCAGCAGTGCGACTGCAAGACCTTCTTCCGCGTCTGCCTCAAGCACTACCAGGCCAGCGTCTCCCCCGAGCCGCCCTGCACCTACGGCAGCGCCATCACCCCCGTCCTGGGCGCCAACTCCTTCAGCGTCCCCGACGGCGCGGGCGGCGCCGACCCCGCCTTCAGCAACCCCATCCGCTTCCCCTTCGGCTTCACCTGGCCCGTAAGTGGGGGGGGGGGGGGGGGGGGGGGGGGCGGCGCCGGTGTGGGCGGCCCACGTCCCGTCCCATCCCATATCATCTCATCCCACCCCATCCCACACCCGCCGGCCACCCCGAACGCCCATCCGAGGGGGCCGCCGATTCCCCGAGGGTGTCTTGGAGGGGGGTGGGGGGGCGGGTGAGAAACTGCTGGGGGGCTTGGGGGAGCTGCCTCCCGGTCCTGCCCTCTCTCACGCTCTCCCTCCTGCCGGCGGGCTGTCTCTGCTCCTTCTTTCCTCAGGGCACCTTCTCCCTCATCATTGAGGCTCTGCATACCGACTCGCCTGATGACCTCACCACAGGTAACTGTCCTGAAACAGACCCCTCTCTGGAATAATCCCAGCCTTGCGGCCCCACTTGGCCCCTCCATCTGTGGTATGCAGCGTGTTCCTCCTATCCCATGTCTGCTCCTCTTTGGGAGACCATGGGAAGAGAGGCCAACCTGTTGGCACACAGCCCTATCACCCTGCCTCTTCGGTTCCCCTCCCACCAGCGACCCCCTGCTGAGCATCTTCCTACACCCCTGCCAGCTTCGGGCTCCCTAATCACACTTCTCCTCTCCACTTTTGCACAGAAAACCCCGAGCGCCTCATCAGCCGCCTGGCCACCCAGAGGCACTTGGCGGTGGGTGAAGAGTGGTCCCAGGACCTGCACAGCAGCGGCCGCACTGACCTCAAGTATTCCTATCGCTTTGTGTGCGACGAGCACTACTACGGAGAGGGCTGTTCCGTCTTCTGCCGCCCCCGGGACGATGCCTTTGGTCACTTCACTTGCGGAGAGCGTGGCGAGAAAGTCTGCAATCCAGGCTGGAAAGGCCAATACTGCACTGAGCGTGAGTGGCTACCTTCTTGTCTCCCTGGGCTCTGGTTGCAGCAGTGTCCCCTGAGCTCCTGGGGGGTGCTTCTCTGCCACCAGGCACCACGGTAGGCGGGGAACCAAGCTACAGTGGGTGGAGGTCTGGTGCTTGTGTACAGGCTTTACTGGTGCAGGGGGTGGGAGGTCCTCAGCATTGCCACAGACAGCCCCTTCTCAAGCTAATAAAATGCCAGTGCCAACATTACACTCTTGCTCATCTGCTATAGACATCAAATCTGATAGCAAAATGTTGAGCAGTTGCTTGAGTTGATATATTTTTATTAAAATATATCGGGATTATTTTTTATACCTACTCACCCCTTCAACCATGGTACACTGACAGCATCATCTACAGGGTACATGGCTTCAAGAAAGGGAGCTAGGCTTTGGCAAGATCCCTACAGCAGACTTCTTGGCAGGCTTGTTATGGCCTGATGTTTTGCCACCGTGTACTGAGAAAAGTATTGGGAGGCCCAAGATATTCTCTGTGGCCTCTAGAATGTACATTTCTCCTTTGGGGTATTCATAAACGGCCACTAACAGAGATTGTTGCACCTGGGGCCACAAGAACATTCAGTTTCTTCCACATGTCTCCTCTGTGCCATTACCTTGATCATTACTACTAATAAAGTAGTGAGAGACATGAATTTTAAAGTATGCCTGAGTTGTTGAGGAATGCGGTGTGTGGATACAGCAGGAAAAGCTGGGACGGTAAGCAGATCACAGAGAGGATAGTCAGGGACGTCAGCTACCTGCAGCTTTCTACAGGATTACTGCCCTTTGTAGATTAGATACAAGGTGGTGTACACCCAAACATGCACACAGAGCTCCTGCTGCAGCATGTGATGGCATTCTCTGTTTGTGTGTATACACGGGTCTGAAGTACACTGGCAGATGACGTACTGGGTGAGTGCTCCTCTCCAATCATCAAAGGGCCAGGCAGGCAGGGAGAAAACAGTTACAGGCTGTAAAGCATCCTCTCGGTTTTCTTCTTGTTGTGTTTTTGTTTTTCTTAAAGCCCACCTACACTGTGGTCTCAGCTGAGCTGCTATCAAACGAACCCAGATTGATTATTCACACTGTTAGTGACTGCTGGGATGCTTTTAGCAGTTTGTGGTACCACATTGCAGAGTAAACAGCAGGCAGAAGGGGCTCCCATTTCCTTTGATAGTGTTTTAAATAGGAATTATACCATTTCCCATGATTAAAAGTGCCTAGCCCAGTAGTGTCAAGGGGTGGGGAAAAGGGAAGCATTTTGATAATGAGCTCTTTTGGGGCTGTCAGCACTTTTGGATGCATGTGCATCGCTGCTCTTCCCATAGCGAAGTAGAAGGCTGTCTGTCTTTCTTGACTCGTTACGTATGCTCTTCGCTCTGCTTTCCCTCTTAGAAAAAAACAGCTTACAACAGCAACACAAAACTACTAGGCAGGGGAGATGTGTTTATGTGTGCATGCAAAAAGAATGTTTTGCCGTTAGCGACTGGAGTTGCCAGTTGCAGATTGCTTCCCGTTGCCTTGCCCCAGCTCCATTCTTTCCAACTTGGAGGTGATCTGATTATCAGCACTGATTCTTTCTTTTTTTTTTTTTTTTTCTTCCCCCCCCAACCCCCCCTTTCCCCTCGCATGCCATTGTCTCCGGCTGGCTTTGTGGAATTAAAACTTTGCTGTGCCTGCTTAATGAGTTCCATAACCAGGCAAAGTAATGAGCAGAAGTCCCTTTTTTCCTTTCCCTCATCCTCCCTCCCGCTGGCCCGTTTACCTCTTTTACCAGGGCTGCACCCACCCGCCCACCCCTTTTCGGAGCGGGGTGGAGGGTGGGAGGGGGGGGGAAAGGAGGGAGGAAGAACTTTAGACTTATTTATTTGAATAAGAAAAAAAAAAAAGTTTTTTTGCAGCGAAATCACGCGCGTGCCATAGATTAGCTGTGGGCAGGGATAGGCTGCCCGGCCGCCGGCCGCCGGCCCCATTGGCTCCGGGGCCGGCGTATTGTTGCAGTGGGGCAGCTGCTGGGAGAGAATAGACAATAGAGCAGCTGTCTTGCACTGGCACCCTGCACACCAGCTGTCCACTCTTATCTGCACACACACTTTTGGGGGATATTAAGAGGTGGAGCTGTGTGCATAGAATTGGAAAAAAGGACTTCTGACCCTCACTGGGAAGGGGGGTGAGGGGCTGTGGGGAAGGGAGCAATTGTGAGCACTCTTTTGTCTGTGTGCAACTGTATTAAGAAGAATGCTCATCCCCGGCGATAAGTAAAGTGCCCAGTTACGGGGCGAGATCAATACTCCTGCAGACTCCAGAGATTAACTCAGCTGCGCTTAACTGCCCCGACCTAGTAAAAGGGGCTCGCTCCCTACCCACAAGGTGCTCTCGAGATTGGACTTGTAAAAGGGAGGCGTTTGGCCCCGGTGCTGATGTCTCTCCCTGGTTGGTTTGTTTACAGCGATTTGTTTGCCTGGATGCGATGAGCAACACGGCTTTTGCGACAAACCTGGGGAATGCAAGTAAGTTTTCCACTCCCCTCCTGCTCCCTTCTTTGTCTTTAACATTGATGCTCTGGTGTTAAGTAAGCCATTGGTCATTTGAAGGGTCGGTTTAAATGCCTTTCTTCATATTAAATGGTAATTTGAGAAACCCAGGTGATGCCAGATCAAAGTATTAATCTACAAGTCAAACATCAGTGCCATTAATATTAACCTAATGAGTTTACAGTGCTGTGTGTAAGGTTTAGCTGTTTGTTATTAGAGTAAACAAATTAACTACCTGGAACCATGGAACTATCTAAGGAAATCTAAGGAAGTGGAAGAAATAGCTGGGACCGATGAAAGCTGATGCTACAGTTGGACTCGGTGACTTTCCCACGTGAAGGATCACTGAGGGCTTTTAGGAAACTTGATCCCTGGCATCAGTGTGTTTGCAGAGTTTGTGATAGGGTTTCCAACTGTGAGAAGTCTAAATCTGATGAGACTTTGTTGTTGTGGTTTTTTTTTTTTGGTTTTGTTTTGTTTTTTGTTTTATTTTTTGTTTTTTGTTTTTTTTTTTTTTTTTTCAGATGCAGAGTGGGTTGGCAGGGGCGATACTGTGATGAGTGCATCCGATACCCAGGCTGCCTTCATGGTACCTGTCAGCAGCCGTGGCAGTGCAACTGCCAGGAGGGCTGGGGTGGCCTTTTCTGCAACCAGGGTGAGTTCTCAGTCCTTGCCTGAGCATCTGTTTTAAAATGCAGAAAGCAAGTGTCTATTTCCCGCTCACCCACCCTTTGCTAGCCTTGTAAAGTAGCAAGTGTCTTGACTGCCCTCTTCTTTAAAAAAAAAAATCTTTTACAGACCTGAACTACTGCACCCACCACAAGCCCTGCAAGAATGGTGCCACATGCACCAACACGGGCCAGGGGAGCTACACTTGTTCTTGCCGACCTGGGTACACAGGCTCCAACTGTGAGATCGAAATCAATGAATGTGACGCCAACCCTTGCAAGAACGGTGGAAGCTGCACTGTAAGTTTGAGTTGCTCATGCTGTCTGACACCCCGAGGGAGGAGTTAATGTCAGTTTTACTGATTTTCAAAATCCCTTTTTGGATTTCAAAGCAACTTCAGATAAATATTTTGACATTTCTCATTTTTCCCTGCCAGGATCTGGAGAACAGCTATTCCTGTACCTGCCCCCCTGGCTTCTATGGTAAAAACTGTGAGCTGAGCGCAATGACTTGTGCTGATGGACCATGCTTCAATGGTGGGCGATGCACCGATAACCCTGATGGGGGATACAGTTGCCGCTGCCCACTGGGTTATTCTGGGTTCAACTGTGAAAAGAAAATCGATTACTGCAGTTCCAGCCCTTGTGCTAACGGTAAGGCCAAACATGCTACAGTGGCCTTCGAAAAGGAGACCATCTAGTTACTTTGGCTTCTGTTCTGGAGTTCATAACAACACCCACTGATCAATCATGTTCTGTGACATGTCAATAGTTGACTTGGTGAAGGAATTGTACTTAAAAAGTAATGGTGTAATTTGGGCCACTGCTGCAGATTGCACTTTCTCAAGGGGTAGCTGTGGCCAGGTATCTTGGCCTGAAGACTCATGCACAAAAATGTGGAGGATTATACCTGCAAATGTTTTGCAAAGACTCTTAGAGTCTTGTGGATGAAAAATTCCACACAAGTGCTGACTATTATTACTTGTAATCTGGTAAAAGTAACCTTCCTGTTTTGATTAAACTGGTGAAGACTTTCTTTACTGCAGTCCTCATTCATTGCCACTCAAACTCTGTAACGTGAGATTGTGGTGTTAACCTGATCCGTACTAGCTTTGTTGTCCAAGCTGAGTGAAATGTTAAGAAGGGAATTGGATGTAGAATGAAAAATATACCTGATTAACAAATATCTTCCCTAAAGAATCTCTGTACTTTTTATGGTGGATCAGACTTGTCAAAGGTTGAGATAACTTCTCAAAAAGAGAGCTTTTCTCAGCTGCTGGTTGTGACGGTTGCTCTGGGAGCAGCAGGTGGGAGGCTGTCGGGTCCTGCTGCCCACCACTCAGTGCTCGTCCCCCTTGATGTCTTGCAGGAGCCCAGTGCGTCGATCTGGGGAACTCCTACATATGCCAGTGCCAGGCTGGTTTCACTGGGAGACACTGTGATGACAATGTGGACGACTGCGCCTCCTTTCCCTGTGTCAACGGAGGGACCTGCCAGGATGGTGTCAATGACTATTCCTGCACCTGCCCCCCAGGATACAACGGGAAGAACTGCAGCACCCCGGTGAGCAGATGTGAACACAACCCCTGTCACAACGGGGCCACTTGCCACGAAAGAAACAACCGCTACGTCTGTGAGTGTGCCCGGGGGTACGGTGGGCTCAACTGCCAATTTTTGCTCCCTGAGCCGCCTCAGGGACCCGTTATTGTCGA